ACCGAAGAGGACAGGCTCGGGCAGGGGAAGCAGATAGTCCTAAATCGCTAAGTCAGTGGGCTGGGAATCCAGAACCTGCATATTTGAACCTCCGCTGGGCGCCCGCGTCTCACGCCGTCCCTTCTCCCTAGCTCGGCGCCATGGCGTCCCAGGGTCGTCGGCGGAGGCCGCCCCGAAGGCCCGAGACGGTGGTACGAGGGGAGGCGGCCGAAACGGACTCGGAACTCTCTGCGTCCTCGTCCGAGGAGGAGGAGCTGTACCTGGGTCCCTCGGGCCCGACGCGCGGCCGCCCAACAGGACTACGGGTGGCTGGGGAAGCCGCAGAGACCGACTCGGACCCGGAGCCGGAACCTACGGCCGCGCCCAGGGACTTGCCTCCGCTTGTGGTGCAGCGGGAAACGGCCGGGGAGGCCTGGGGCGCGGAGGAGGCCCCGGCGCCCGCCCCCGCGCGCTCGCTGCTGCAGCTCCGGCTGGCCGAGAGCCAGGCGCGGCTGGACCACGACAAAAAAAAAGCGTGCGCCTGGCGCGGGGGGACCTCTGCGCGCTGGCCGAGCGCCTGGACATCGTGGCCAGCTGCCGCCTGCTGCCCGACATCCGCGGCGTACCAGGAACTGAGCCTGAGCAAGACCCGGGACCGCGGGCCTAACCATGACCCACTCCTCTCCTGACTCTGGGACCTGGTTCTGTATCCTATATATTCCCCCCACTTCCCGTCTTGATGTCACCCTCAGGTCTAACTCCAACCCCTGGATTATGCAGTGTGTGGAGGCGGGGCGGAGGGGGTGATGGTGCTCAGCCCCGCCCCTTGCTTCTGGTTCCTCCTGGTGGTCCTGCCCCTGCCCACTGATTCCTAGCCTGTGTCTGAGGCTTGGCTTCAGCCCCTGGGTAATTGGCCACTCCTTGATCTGTCTCTATCCTGGGGGCTCACTGTGCCCCATCTTTCCTTGCGTTCTGCCTTCCCGAATTTGGTTTCTGCTCCCAGGGGCTGATGCTGCTTATTCCCACGGGAGCCCCAGAATCTGGCGCAGATTCCCTAGCACGTTCCATCACTCCTTAGCTCCACCTCTGGTCCCAGCTACATTTCTGGAATTTCATCCCCTTAGGCTGAGCCCTTTTTCTGCTCCCCAGGCTTGGCCCTGGTTCTGTCTCCTGGTTCTAGTCCTTGCTCTGCCATCTCCTGGCTTCTTTTCCTCCAGGCTTGGTCTCATTTCCTGGGTCCAGTTGTACCCGTAGGATTGGTTTTGACTATTTTTGCTTTTCCCATCCTGCTTATACTACCTGCCTGATTCTGGGCTCCGGAGGCCCCATACGGGTTTCCTTCATGAGGCCCAAGATGGGGACCCCCTCCTGACCCAGGGGGTCCTCCTCCCCACTCTCCACGCCCAAGATGGCATCGCTCCAGACCCAAGTAGGTGTGTCCTCCACACCCTCCAGGCCAGGGTGGCACTCTGTGCCCAAGCTCCCGATACAAGATTGGCCTCTCTGACTCTCCAGGCAGTGGCAACATTCAGTCACTTAGGGCCCAATACAGCCTGCCCCGGCACTTTGGGCGCAATGTGACACCACTGTGGATGAGGACCACAGGCATGGTGTTTGCTCATTGTGTTGACTCCAGGATGCTAAGAGGACTTAGATTTCTGGCTCAGCTCAGGGTCTGGGGTCAGTTCCTTTTTTGTGCCCCTTCTCACCTGCTCCTTCTGGTCCCAGCTCTAGCCCCTCGGTCCCATTCACATTTATTCCCCTCCCCATTCTTTTATCCCAACCTGAAGCTGAAATCTGAGCCCCCAGGATGGAGAGGTGGGGAAGCATGCTCTATGGCAGACTCATTAAAATGCAAAACATTTACTGATATGGTCAGTTCCTCTTGTCTCCCCTGCTAAGGGCGGGGATGCGGGTTAGTTGGTGACTTCACTGGGGGTGCAGCAGCCAGTCTGGGCCCTCACAGAGCTCACAGTCCCCTGGGGGAGACAGACATTAATAAAATATTCTCATAAATACATGGATAGTTTTAATAGTTATGATTTATAGTTTAGCTATAATTTTTCCGGCACTATGATTAGTGCCATGAAGAAGTACAGGAGTTTTGCGAGGGCGTAACATCCGGCTGGTCAGATAGCTTTGCTGAGGAAGTGATGCGTGATGTTGAGCTGAACCCTAAAGGTCTAACTAGGTGAAACTGGAATGGGGTGCAGAAGAGTTGTAGGCAGGAGAAATAGCATAAGCAAAGGCCGTGAGAAGGGAACATAACCT